TTAAAACCGTAACTAATCTAACTAATAATAAATTAATAGAGAGAGAGAGAGAGAGAGAGGGAGGAAGGGAGGGAGGAGAGAGCAATAACGCAAGTGTCATTTTAATAGGTTAGCTAGAACGTAAAATTTTTAGAACAGATTCCCTCGTAGCGTATAAAATATATTTGAAGAACGAACGAAAGAATGTTAGGAACGCTCACCTGTGGTGATATTGTGGATAATGCGGATGCCATGGATCCGTTGGACACTCGTACACTTCACCGGGATGCTGACTCTTCCAGAAGGAAGGGGGGAAGTTCCTCATGAACATAGGAGAGATATTTTCTGCGACAAAATAAAATTGTTTCAGCGATTCTTTTTTTCAATAAATAAACCCTTTTTAATAGAAGTTAAATTTATATTTTATAATGACGCGAGAGACTTTTTAAAAGGCTGCGACGTATATAATACGATATAATTCGATTGTTGAAAACGTGGACGGATCGGATAATCGGAGCGCGACGTAAGTTTTATCGGAAATGTGGACGATTCGGAGGCGAGGTGGAATGTTTATTAAAATATTTGTATCGTTTCCCACGGGCCAGCACGCGATTCTTTCGAGGGTTCACGATAAACGAGTAGTAGTCGGATCCCACGGGATCGAACCGCGCGACAGAAAGGTACCGCTCGGTTGTTTTACAAGCGACCACTCCAAAGCCAGAAGCTTGTCGTGTATCCTCCCGCGAGTCTCCCGAGTCCTTGGTCCCGGGATTCCTTTTTCTCTCTCTCCAACCTCTTTCGGCCAATCCAAACACATATTCGAAGGTTGAACCAGCCGACGATTTATACTTCTAATTCCTCTCCTCTCTACCTCTTCCTCGATTTCATCTTCGCCATCGCGCCACCGCTATCCCACGTGGAACTAATTTATACAAAAATCTTCCTTCGGTTTACGCTTTTGATATCGCGATACGATATATAATAATTTTTTGATTTGAAAATCAAATCGCTCGAGTCTTATTTTCATTCGCGAAAATTTATCTTCATTTGCTCGAGTAACGCGTTAATTAGAGAAGCATACTCTTTATGGATCGACGGGAATAACTCGGTCGTGGAAAAAGTGGCAACCTGTACGATCGTTTAGAAGATAAAACAGAAGGATGAATTATTCATTTATGCGTTGCGCAACGGTATCCAGCATCGATCGATACACACCGCTCGGTGTACAGTAATTTATCTCTAATAGACGACACATCGCGCCAACATATGTATGTACATATAGGCGATAATTAACGAGTCGGACGAGCGACAAATCAAAAACAACGTCGGAAAAGAAAGAGATAAATTAATCGGTGGAATAAAATTTCAACGCGTCCGAAGGGGGTAGAGGGGGGATGGATCGGGATCGGAATCTCGTTCGCGATCCCGGAATCGCGAAATAGGTTCAGGACGATATCGTAACGTCGATTGGGTATCGGCTCGTCCCCGGGTAACAACACTGACCCGCGACACTTTCGATATAAAGAAGCCATGGAACTGCATTGTTTCCCACGCGTGGAATGTCGGAATGGAAGTCGGAGTCGGAGGAGGGTAGGGGAGGGCCTCCTCCTCCTCCTCCTCCCCCTCCTCTTCTCCTCCTCGTTTCCTCCAGTATCCGGCCAAACTCGTAAAATATACTTTCTCGGAGTCGGAGGGGGGGGAGGAACCGGAGGCGAATCGCGGCATCATCCTCCTACACACGAGTATCAAGAAAGATTGACTAACTATCGCGTTAAATATTGCAATTTGCTTATGGGGGAGATGCGAGATAGCGGAAAGGAAACCGGCCCCCACCGGTCCTTCGTTCTCCACCACGTCCTTCGTCTTTCCTCCAACCTCCGCTTCCCTTCTCGCCGCCTCCCCGCTCGCTCCCTCTCCCCCCCGACTCCCTGTCCACCGCCCGACTGTCCTTTATTTATTAACGCAATTAAAGAAACAGAGTGTCGAGCGTCCACGGTCGGCTTTCTACCATGCCGATGCCGCGAACCGGCTGTAACGCTCGGGGAGAATATACGCAGGGAAGCGGATTCGCCGCTCGTGGAGGCAGAGAGGGTTGTCGATACCGAATTCGCATCGCGAAAATTCGACGTTCCGTCCATTTCCAACCCTCCGTTTTTATCCCTCCGATGTCCATCCACGTTATATATAAAACGTACAACGTCGATCCACGATTTTTACGCAAAATACGTGTTTTTTTCCTCTCCTCGCGCTACGAAAACTTATACCTCGCATATTTTGTATCGCGACGAACGATAGAGACGCAAAGATCGCGAGTTGATAGAAAGTTGAATCGAGAATCACCGTTCGAAAATTATTATTCTCGGTTTCAGATATATCGCTTCGTTAAGTATTCAAATTACATCGATATCGAAGGGAATACGTATATTTCCAGTTATTATCTATTTCAACCTTCTCCTTGACCATCCATCATCCTTCCGATAACTCACTCCAATCGATAATCGATAAATCGCGCGTTACTTCTGAAAAATCTAAACTTTGTATATTCTGATATATTATAGAATTAATAAAGTTTATTCGGAATCGGATATCCTCAAAGAATGCTCGAAAAAGAGAGAAAGATTGCCGGATTAAAAAAAAAAAAAATCTTACGACTTTCGACTCGAACGATGAGACGAGGGAGAGAAGAGAGAAAAGATCGTCTGGCGAAGAACGTTAATTTTTTTTTTTCGAGTTCATTCATTTTCTCGGCGAGGTGGCTCGTAATGATTCACTTTCAGCCGTTGAACGAGCGACTCGACGTCGATCGTTCGCCCACTGCAGCGAGGCACTACCCCCGATACAAATGTAGTCGGTAAATCTTGGCGGCGACTCGAGCGCGGAAAATAATCGGCTGACACGAAGCCGAGAGTACGAGTTTCCTCGCGGTGGACGAGACGCGTGGTGTTGGCGCACCGCCAAAAGGTGGCTGTATAAAGATGTGTGGCGCGACGCGATCCCGCGATTCGTCAAAACGTAACCCCCAGACCGGATTGATGTGGCGGTGCGAGCGGATGCCTCGTTATTCCGATTGCCACGGCCAAAGGGATTCGCACCCGAGACGAGTGGAATTCAAATTCGCAGCGTTCCGCTCTATTTTCGATTTGTACAGACGCCCGGCTACGATTATACGCGCGAAACAATAAGAGGAAGAAGAAGAAGAAGAAGAAGAACGTCCGAAAGTTCGTCGATCGTAATACGTTCGACGAAAGATTCCCTTTAACCGAGAATAAGGAAAATTCATTTTACGTCGTATATTCGAGACGGAAAAGAGAAACGAGAAACGCGGCAAGAAAATAATCGATCGATCGTCGCGCGTGGAATCGCGTGCGAGTGGAGAGGCATTCTCGATTACGCTTACGTTAAATTACGCGGCGTGTCATAGATTACACGGCAATTTTCATCCGTGTGATCCGTTGCTTTCGAGCGAGCATCCAGCGGTGAAAAAGCGTGGACGGGCGTAGAGAGGCACGGTATCGTGGCTAATCTCGCGGCAACCCCTTTGAAGACGCTACGGCGTCGTGTAAGAGCCATGTCGAGTAATTGCGTCTCTGTTGCGCCGCGGTGGCTGGCGAACGGGGCGTTAATTTGACGCCACCGACTGGAACGACGCGCTCAATTTCCCCAACTCGGCCTTCCCCAACGTCCTCGTTCCCAACAACCTCGTGTTCTCATCGGACCGACAGCATGCGATACGGACACCCTTCCCTCCCGCCGGACGTTCCGAATTAACCCTTTGAGCGGAAGGATGCGCGCTGATAAACGCGTGTGATTTTTCACAAAGCGTCGCCACAACCACGGCCAACGATTAACAACCTTTCTCCCTTTCTTCGCTTTGAAGAAAAGTTTCGGCGAGAGTGGGATCTTCAAAGTCGTGGGGAGGATTATTTACGAACCGGAATCGAGATATCTCGTTAATTCGTCGTTGACTTGGTGAAGTTTTACCAAGAATTCGAGTGGAAACATGCAGTACGATGCAGCGTAACCGTTTTTAAAAATGTATTTTTAGGAAATTAATTTACGCGCGACACGTCTCGTTCCGCTCGAGTCGAGCGCGCGCGATGTCGATTCGGATCGAATTGGATCGATTCTATTTTCGTCGAGCTGTTTCGTCGTTGTTACCTCGATGATATCGAACGATATCTAAAAATAAAATCGTTCGAAAAAATTCCACTACATCCCGTACTCTCGTATGTAAAGCGAATACGATAATTAATCAACGCCCCTCCTCTTCATCGATATACGTCTTAATTCGATTCGCGCGAGTTAACGAACCCTTAATAAAGAACGAATCCCCCCCCCCTATCGCTATCGACTAGTATTCGAGGGCAAAACGTTTTATCGGATAGTCGTATCGTTTCGCCTCCTTCGATCTTGTCCCCCTTTAGCGTGTGCCAGCCGCTCCTGGTACCAGCTGGTAGTAGCAACGCAAAACCCTGCTAAATGCAATTTCTTCCTTGCATACAAGTCATTCCCTTGGGAGCGCGACGCGAAAATCTCGTTCGATCTCGAACGTTCTTTTATTATATTACGAGGCGAATTATATATACTCGTGATATATCGCCTCGGTAAAACGGGGACGGAAGAA